TATACAAGGAGCTCAAAAAATATCCTCTCACACAACTAACCCAATCAATAAATGGGCACAGCTTGATAGGAAATGTGCTCATTATCCTACTCATGTAACTGTAACCCCTCTGTACAGTGTTTTTACAATAAAAAATGTATATGGAAAAAAATACCCCACACACAACTAACCCAATCAATAAATGGGCACAGGAGCTAAAAAGAGACTTCTCAGAAAAAGAAGAGTGACAAATAGACACATGAGGAAAGGCTCATCATCCCTGGAAGGAAATGTAAATCAAACAGCTGAGATTCTGTCTCATCCCAGTTAGACTGGCCAATTCTGTGCATTCCAGCAATGAATGCTGATGAGGATATGGGGAAAAAACTCCATTGCACTGTTGGTAGGAATGTAAATTCATACAACCAATCTGGAGGTTCCTCAAAAAAAAAACTAAACAAAGCATTTCCCTATGATCCAGTCATACCAGTCGTGGGCATACCCAGAACATTACAAGTCAAGATACCATAAAGACAGTGGCACATCCATGTTCTCTGCTAGTATGAAAACAGCCCACTGACATGCCATTACAACAGATGAGTGGATTAATAAATAGGGTACATATACACAATGGAATCTTACTAATCCATTAGAAAGAATAATAGGTCATTTTCAGGGAAATAGATGGACCTACAACGAATCACATTAAGTGAGATAGGCCAGGCACAGAGAGGCAAACAACTCATGTTTTCTCTCCTATGTGGAAGCTAGATCTAAAACACAACTAGACATGATAACATGTACAGGACTCAACAAAACTGATTAAGGGGAGTATACTTAAAGGAGGAATTCCATAGTGTAACTCCTCTGAACTACTAAAGTACTGTGTATCAAAACAAGTACTAGGAAATGGAAGCATGTTATAGCAGCAGGGCAAAGGGAGGGCAAAGGAAGGAAGAAAGAAAGGAAGGAAGGAAGGAAGAAGGAAGGAAGGAAGGAAGGAAGGAAGGAAGGGAGGAAGGAAGGAAGGGAGGAAGGAAGGAAGGAATCTGAACTTATCACAGGAAGACAATGTACAGGAGCGATAAACACACCAAGAACATCCAGTTTCCTGTCCATCTGAACACAAGTTTCAACACTTCAGGAAAGCCACTGGTGAGTAAACTTCAACTCCAGCTTCATGCATGGACATGATTACTTTCTGTCTGCAGAAGTCTCTGAGCAGAGGAGAAGGCAATCAGTCACCAAGAAGTGAAATCTCCTAAGCAGCTACCCAGTGCACAGCCTGAAATGAACTCTAGTTTTGCCCTTGAATGGGTCAATTCATGGAGAGAATAGCTGGGGAGGGGGTGGGAGCCAGCAAGGGGAGGGATCATGAAGGGAGTTCATTCCTTTATGGGGAAATCTGGGTGCTGGGTCCATGCTGACAATGCTCTCCTTCTAGAATATAAGCACTGGACTCAAGTGTCAGAGGCCTGGAGAACAGAGGACAGGCTGTGCTATAAGCCCAAGCACTAGAGACTGTACTTTAAGCCAGACCTGATCCTTCAAAAATGGGAGGTGGAAGCAACCACCTGACCTCCAGCCGAGAAAAAAATACAACCTGTAACCGACATTTAAAGAAAGTTCCTTTACAATATTGTAAATAAGATTAAAAAGGGTACTTAGGTTTCATAGTTACAAATATTGCATACCTTAGCAAAGCTGCCTAGCATGTACGTAAAAACATATAGAGCTGTTTCTTCAGACAAGCAATGTTTTCATGTGTAGAAGGAGGAAAAGATTTGCTGGAAAGCATCACTCAGTGATCCTAGCACTAAGCACACAGAAAGTTCCCTGGAGAGAGCACCAGAGAGGGCACAAAGCCACCACAACCACTGCTCCATCCAGACATATCCACTGCTAGGCTGCTTCATTTCTACTATTAGTAGTCTTACATACCACTTTCATACCACCAAAAAAGGCACGCACATGCAAGCAAGCACACAAACACAGCCTGAGAACTGGCCCACAGGCCTTGGTAGCCAGGCCCTCTGGGAAGCTTCCGCCCTCGGGACCCTGGCAGCCTCACTACCCTTCCTGACCCAAATGCACCTGCCATCACCTCTCCTCCCTTGGGTGCCTCCGACACACGCCGGCTGCTGCAGGACCCCATGCGGCCGCACAGCCTGGACACCAGTGCTCCCTCCCACCACAGCTGGGATCCACCCAAGAGAGGGGCAGGGCTCGGGCAGGAAGAGGTGGTGATGACCACAGTGCCGAAAAGGCCAAAGAACAGGGGTCAGCTAGTGTGGGCAGCCCTCAAGTCACGAGGCACAGAGAGCTCGTCCACTTACACAATGGGGCCTCACAGCCTGGTCCATAGCCTCGGCAAACACACTACACACACATACACACAAACACACACACACATGCGTGTGTGCACACCCCAACTCCATCAGCCTCAAAGCAGGAGGGCCTTGCTTTACAAATAACGTCCTTAAGGGACACTCCACATCCCTGACTATACAAATATCTCACAGCCTTCATGGCAAGTGTGTTCTGTGTGCTTACACACACACAATCTTGATTGACAGGGTGGGGGTAGAGGTCGGTGGTGGAGCACTTGCCTCGCACATGATGTTAGAATGGCTTCGGGTCCACAGGTGACATGCATCAGCACCATATATACAAAGATGCCAGGCTGCAGGATGAGGTAGGTGCGGGAGCCAGCCAACCCTAGGCTTTAACCTGGCTTTACCTTACCGTTGGGGGATGAACAAGCTCCTCAGACCACTTCCTCCTTTTACACAAAGGAGTTCCCCTGGAATAGGACACTTATGCAAGAACGTACATTCCTACCACACCTAGCCAACCTCCCAACCCAAATGAGACTCCATCAAGAGCCACCTCTTCAGAGCATTGGCCAGAACATGACTTCCTAGGACAGCATGCCCTGAGTTAGCAGCTCCATGCTTCATTCACAAATTCGTCTCTTATAACCGCAAGATCTCCTGTAATTGTGAGATCTGAGCCAGTCTAGCAATTAGTTGTCTGAGCTTGGCCCTAGCTATTCAGGGCTGAGATACAGAGGATCACAGTTCAAAGCCAGACTGGGCAGAAGAGTCCATGAGACTTACTTTCCAAAATAACAGGCAAAAAGCAAGGCTAGAGGAAGGCTCAAATGGCAGAGCACCAGTCAGACAAACAAGCAGAGTGAGCCCTGAATTCAAATCCTAGTACTATCTAAAACAAGAAAGAGGAGGACCTGGTCCATACAAAGAAAGGAAGCAAAGGCTGCTGATGAGCAGTGGAGCACAAAGCACAGAAATGTGCTCACAAGAAGAGGACAGGAAGCTGTGGAGAGAAGGAAGTGCTCACAAGAAGAGGACAGGAAACTGTGAAGAGAAGGAAGTGCTCTCAAGAAGAGGACAGGAAGCTGGGTGCTGGTAGCTCACATCTGTAATCCTAGCTACTCTGGAGGCTGAGATCTGAGGATTGTGGTTCAAAGCCAGCCCGGGCAGGAAACTCTGTGAGACTTTTATCTCCAATAAACCACTAGAAAACCGGAAGTGGTGTTGTGGCTCAAGCAGTAAAGCACTCGCCTTGAGCTGAAGAGCTGAGGGCTAGCGCCCAAGCCCAGAGTTCAAGCCCCATGACCGACCAAAAAAAAAAAAAAAAAGAAGGACAGGAAACTGTGGAGAGAAGGAAGTGCTCATAAGAAGCAGGACAGGAAGCTGTGAAGAGAGTAACTGCTCACAAGAGGAGGACAGGAAGCTGTGGAGAGAAGGAAGCTCTGATGGCAAGGCAGGAGATCAGACAAGAGGCCATCGTATCCACACATTCACCTAGGCCGACATGGACCACAGTCCTGCCAGGCTCCCAGTACCCTGGACAGTGCTTAAGGGAAGGCTGGATCCACAGATAAAAGGCACAAGGCTTAGTAAGAAGCAATTTGGCAAGAGTCCTATTCAAATCTGGTACCACACTTCTCATCACTTAATAAAGGTATAGAGGTACAGAAGTGAAACACTCACTTAAGCCAGCTGCCATTATGTCAAAAATGCAAATATAAATCTTTGCCCCTCCTGATCACAAATAAAAAACCAAGGGGGCGCAAAACAAATGCACATTTCCAAAGAATTCAAAACAAACATTTAGCAAGTTTATACCAACAACTTAAAATTTTTTTAATTTTCAATTCTCTAAGTATATGTAATTGCTTAGATACAGAGAAGATGTGTGTATGTATATGTGCGTATATATATACATATATATAATTACCACAGCTATTTAATAATTATATTATTACCATAGTTATTGTTAAGCTCATAAACTGGTTATATTACGTTTTAAAATGCAGCCAGCTTCAGGATGCAGAAACGCCAGTCTTCAGCATGTATAAAGGTCAGACATGCTAGGCATGGGTGGCTCATGCCTATAATCCTAACTACTCAGGAGGCTGAGATCTGAGGATCATGGTTCAAAGCCAGCCTGGGCTAGAAAGGCTGTGAGACTCTTATTTCCAATAAACTACTCAGAGAAAGCTGGAGTGGCACTGTGGCTCAAGTAGAAGACCACTAGTCCTTAGTAAAAGCAGCCCAGGACCTGAGTTCAAGCCCCAGGACTCCCCCACCCACCCCCCTGCCCCCGCCAAAAAAAAAAAAAAGTTCAGTCATTAATTCCATGCTATCAACACATAAGACTACTGATCTAAACTACTTACAATCCATTCTCAATGCTAATACAATGGTTTTAAAATCACATTCACATATCTTAAAATCACACATGTCAAAGCACGTAATGCTGTAGGGATGCAGTCACAAAACTGTGCTGTGACAAGCGCAAGGTAGAGTTCCAAACACACAAGGTCACCACAAAAACTAGTTCTAGCTCATAGAGACCAGATGGGGACGCTGGAGACCATGGATGCCACACTTCCATAGAAAAGCCTCCTCACAGGACACAGGACAGGGCACATCCACAGGAAGGCCCTCCTCACAGGACACAGGACATGATTTGGGAAAATGCCCTCTACTCACCACATTGTAATAGCTCTTGTTGATGGCAGTTGTGTCAAACCCTTTGGGAGGGCTCTTCAATGATCCTGATTTGGGTGACACAGGCTTTTCTGAAATAGAAACAAGTTTTATTGATCAACACCACCAGAAATGGCAAAACAGCCTCCCTATACTATGGCTACTCATCCTCCAGTCTCAACCAAAACCACCAGCCTGGGACGGCAGGAGAGGACCTCCAATGGACACTGGCTGAGCTCAGAGACCCAGCCTCGCCTGCAACTCTGCACTCAATGTCCACCCTGTGCTCCTGACTTCAAGTCAGGAGGCCTGAGACATTACTGCTCAGAAATGCAGCCATTCAGCCACATGTATAGCTCCATATCGTCATAATACAGCACACTACCAAACATAACTGGAGAAAATGCTGACAAATATGTAATACTAAGACACTGAGATCCACTGTTCTGGACTACAGAGATTCTGAGTGTTCAATACAAAGCCTTTCTCTAAATCAATGGGAGAATGATGAAAGGGTGATAACAATTCATACTATTTATAAACTTCTTTGTTAAATGGCAACTCTTCTGTACAACTACTTAAAGATAATCTTTAAAAAGTAAAGAAATAAGCAAACACAAAGACCTGAGTAGGGTAGGGATAAGGCTTGAGATAACATAACCATCACACACAGGAGACGAATAGAAGGAAAAGAAGCAAACACTAAGAAAGTGGCATGGCCTAAAGAAGGCCCAGCAACTACAGCGATTGAGATCAACTCCACTCAACAGACCCTACTAAAGCAGCAGCTACTCAACAAAGCTGGGTTACATGCATGCATCTTGCTGGCCCGCTGGGTAAGCAGGTAATAAGTGTATGTGCAGCTATAAATGTATGCGGGGCGGGGGGGGGGGAGGGGGGAGAGGGGTGTGCCAGTAGTTTTAAGGGTGTCAATCACTGGCTCTATGGTGTGGCTTGCCAGTGTTTTCACACTAGCTCTCTGGGATGAATACATATGTGGTATAATGGTTCTATGGCTATCTATCACTGGCAAATGATAGGGCAAGTGGGCAGTTTAATCCTGTGGTTCTGTCTGTGGGTTTGTCTTTTGTCCATCACTGGTCCACTGGGGCTACAGAGGCAGAACAGCAAAAAACAGGGTTTGGGAGGACAAAGGGAGGGGAGTCGGTCTTCCACGTTCTTTCCCCGGGCACTCAGACAGATGAACCCTTCCTAGAGCTTAGTTTCCAAGTCTTCCTCATCCCTCCTTAAGCAAGAATCCCACTGGACGGACGTCCATGGTTCAGGGAGACACATTGTCCCTCTCTCTGGTGGGTCAGTGGCACCTGTCCACAGTCTCCTTTTAGACCCTCTTCTTTCCTCATACTTCTCTCCTCGCCTAACAGTGAGGGTTTCTGGGAGAATTTCACACCCAGCGCTCCCAGGCCTGGGGTTGTATGGCCAACTGTCTGATCAGAAGCTGCAGTCCCTTGTTGGCCACAGAAACCAGCCTGCAGAATGCCACCCTGACTGTAGCTCTTGCCTAAATCTTCAGCAGCGCCTCACCATCAAGTTTCCCCAAGTGATTAAAAATAAAGAATAAGACAAAAACAAATGTTTTCCAAACCCTCAGTTTCCTAAGAAATCCAACCTGATCTTGCTAACACTGACCTTCTTTTGCTCAGATTCTCATGCAGCTAAAACTTGAACTGAAGAGGAGAAAACCACAAAAATGTTTCATGTTAGAAGAACAGGGGTGTACTGCTCCAGGAGTCCACGCCCTGAGCACAGCTCCCGCCATCCCCCCTCCCCAGTCCCAACCAAGACTGTACTTGCTCGCCAGGATACACACATAACACTCTGTAAATACAGAGTGGTCCATTCTGTTCTTTGCCTGACTCAGTGTCCTGGATCCCAGACTCCCTCCTTCTGGTTTCAACTGTCACTTCTCCCATGTCTCCCAATTCCTTAGGAGAGAGAGAGTCTGCTGATAGCCCCTCCTGATCTGTGTGAAAATTATATCATACCTGTCTTCTACTCTGTCCTCTCCCCACTCAGTACAGCAATCCAGTTATATGGGGAAACAGATCTCGTGTACTGCTCTTAGTATTCTATGCATTAGTATTACTGCATTAGTATCCTAGGTCCTTTTTTTCCTGAGCCTCACACAACAAATGCCAGAAGCAATACTGTTTCAGCCACTATTACTGCAGCACTCCCATCCTGTCAGAGGGACACCCTAACAGGTCTTTAGCACATCTGACAAGATCATAACTTCTTGATCTGATTTAATGTTTAAATGCAAATCTCTTTGTATGTCATAATGGCTTTCTTAGTCTATTTGAATTAGGGACCAAAATTTGCTAAAAATAAAAAAAATGAAAGCAACTACACTGAGCTAGGTCTTATTGTATCACAGTGCCCACAGAGGGTACAGGACACAGCACGGTGGCCTCTTCCCTGCCTCTGTGCCTGCGAGCTCCTCAGCTGAGCTTCCTGATTCATGAGCAGGAGCCCTCTTGGCTTGGCACTGGTGGGTTCCAGCAGCTCACGCATCTGCTGAGTAAATGCTGTTCTCATTTCAGAACCAGGTAACTGTGCTAACTGTGACAGGGACATGAGCACTCACTAGCAGACCCCACAGAGTGAGTACAGGCAGAAAGAAAGGGTCAAAGTCAGTCATCATGTCACAAAATGAGGGCATCAAAAAAACCATACCAGCCAACTGCAGATGAAATTCGAAATAAGACTCAACCGCACTACTTAGCACTGCCAACAAAGAGATTGGGCAGAAGGTAAAACAATATAATAAAGAACAACCTCAGGAGGAGGAAAGAGGAGCAGGGAGCTAAAGAGTCAGAAGACAAACTGTAGCAAACATGAACCAAAGCAAGAGTGAACCCAAGGGCTAGAAGGCTGCTCGCTGCTCATTGCTCGCAGGAGGAAAGTGGCCGACCTGACTGACAGAGCCTGGATGGACAAGGGTTCATGCCCTAGTCTTATGACCGCAGCACGAAAGCTCTTTCTTCCAACTTGCTGAGGCCCATGTTTATATGACATAAACTTAAAAACATCTCCAGTACTGAGGACCAACAACCTGACTCCGGCCTTGTCCCATGTGCTGTGCCCTGGACACAAGGTGTTCGTCATTCACACCCAAAGATGGAGAGAGTCAGAGGCCACAGCAGGCCAGGAGGCCAGCATCAGGAGGAGGATAGCCCATTTGTGTGTGAAGTAGCCTCAGAGACTCAGAGTGTTCAATATATGCATCTGTACCAAGAAGAACCCCCTAGGCCTTGGGTGCTTCCAGAAAACCATCTTCCCCCCCTACACACCCAGAGTCAGCCCACAGCAAAGGGGGATGGGCTGCAGCCAGGACACACTAGAGACGGCACTTGAGCCAGGCTCTGTACTACCTGGACCCTCCTCCCCGTCAGATCATCCTACATCTACCTCTGTTCTTTCATGCCTTGAAAGCGACGGTCGCTTCTGTGTAAAGTAAGCAGAAAACATTTAAAGGCGACAAACGGAAGAACTGGCAGGGCACATGCTCACTCAGGTCAGTGGGTCTATGAATGAATGACTGTCCCCCCTCTACATTTGTATAGACACTGCTCAGCACAAGTATGAGTCACGGCTCAAGCCAGCCAGCTCCCAAATCTTGTACAACAGATGATGAGCTATCCAAAAATTTGAGGATCAAAGTCAGAACATTAGGAATAATCACCTAAAACAACTGTCACTGTCTGACCCCATGATATTTGCCTATAACCACCGGGACTTTGTACCGCTGACCACACTCTATCCTCTCCTCCGCCTGAATTTATCAGAAGGGTCTGCTGTTTCTCCCTCCTTGACTTCTCCTTGAATGGGGAGAGTCTCTATTATGTGCTTGGGAATGTATCAAACATATAAAACACACTAGAAACCTATGAGTTTTACACAGAAAGTAAATGCTAAGTAACAATTACACACCTTCCATGAAACTGTACATATGAAGAATAATGTACAGTATTTTTACAAAAATAATACATAAAATCACAATTAAAATCTTTGTAGTTTGGAAATAGTGGCTAAGTCTATAACTTAACTACTCAGGAGGCTGAGATCTGAGGATCATCACACTTCAAAGCTTGCCCAGGAAGACAAATCTGAGACACTCATCTCCAATTAACCAACAAAAAGCTGGAGTTGGAGGGGTGGCTTAAATGGTAGAGTAGTAACCAATGCAAAAAAGCTAGAGTATGAAGCCCAGTGAGAGTTCAAGTCAATACACACACACACACACACACACACACACACACACACACACACACACACACACACACACCATTGGTTGATTGATTTGTATAAGGCAGAATCTTGTTATGTAGCCTAGAATGGCCTTGAACTGACCATCCTCCTGCTTCAGCCTCCTAGCTACTAGCCCTATAAGCATGTGACACAACTCCTGGCCAACTAAAGATTCTTATACAGAACCATGGAAAGCATTCGTCTCCAAAGAGAAATTAAATAAATCAAGAAACCATACTCAAGTCAAAAGCAGAAAGACAATAATGAACTCACAAGAACATTTCTAAATCCAGACACAAGAGGGCAGCAATTGATGGCCATTTATCCTTCCCAGGGAAGCAGATGAGAAGACTGTGACAATAAAAAGCATTTTATCTGCAGAAAGGCAACCTAAAAATATCACTTAGAAGCTGGCCTTGGTTTCACTTGCACAATAAGAATATCTATAAGTCAAAGCGAAATGTAGCACATAAGCCCCACTAGGGATGAAGTCTGGATGATAACAAAGTGGTCCTCACAGGTTTCCAGACACAAGATTGTTGCAAACAGACTTTGCAAACAGCCCAATTTTGTCTTCAGAAAACTAAGTCCCAATTAAGAAAGGCTGATCCAAAATCAGAAAACTACATAAACTTCTGAAAAAACACAATATTAAAATGACACTTTCATCTACAATTTTAACAGTCACAGAAAGTGGTAGGATAAAAACTGGCTTTGTGCTGCTTTGCTTCAACTGCCAGCACTTAAAATCACACTTGCTTACCTTTTCTTACAATACTTCCAGGAAATTGAGGGAAAGGAAGTTGTCCTTTGGGGAGAAAGGAAGTCATTCCTTCACTTCGTCATCAAATAAAAAACATTCAGCAAAATGGCACAAAGGAGTAAATGCAGTAATATTTTTTGTATTATAAAATACTTTCCAGGAAATGCACTGTGGCTAGAGTGCTTGCCGTGAGCTGAAGAGCTCAGTGACAGTGCCCAAGCCCAGAGTTCAAGTCCCATAACCAACAACAACAACAACAACAACAACAAAAGCATTACTCAAGGTAGAAGGAATAAGGAAGCTAAAAACAAAAACTTTCCAAACCAACTTAGGCCTCAATTTGTCAGGAACACTCTGAATTCAATATGAGTGTACTATGGCTTTCTGCAAACAACTGTTTTTCCAGTGGTGGGAAGCAAACCCTCAGTCCCACACAAAGTACACAAGGACTCTACCAGTGAGCCATACCTCCAGCCCCACAACTCACTTTCAACAACAATGCACCACAGAGATACATACAGACACACCTGTCCTGAGAGACAAAACTTCTACACACAACTCTGGTTCTTCCACAAGTACCTTCTGCCACAGCTAGCTTTATGTCCCACACTCCATGCCAAACATGGGCCTGACACATACAGCGCACACCAGGTGTGTATGCTGTGAAACAAACCACTACCACAGACAACACGAAGGACATCCAAATCTACTGAGAAACCACGTGGGAGTCATCTGGGGAGGGTCGCAGGGCCCCGTGCTCCCTTAATCAACCAAAACATCCACAGAAACAAACACCTGGCAAGTAAACATCCCTTCATGTGCACACCACCTGCTACAGAAGTTCAAGTAAGACGCTCCAGTGAAACAGGAAGCCTGCCTAAGAAGAAAAGCGAGCTATTTGACAGGGAGGAGCTTGCTGGTCAGTGCCGGTGCTGGTGGCACACGGCCTGCCAGCTCTGCTGCCCCTGCCCCTGCTGCAGAGGGGGCGAGTCAGCCTTGCTCTACCTGATCCAATACTCTCTCTGACATCTGGGCCAGCCTGCTCCTGAATCAGCTCTCCCAGGGCAGAATCGGAGGAATGGTGTCGCACAGACATTCTTCAAATTCAGGAGCAACACACATAGCTGGTCAGAAAACCCCAGCTCTGCTGCTGCCTGCCCACACCCCCACCCCTTTATGACTCTATTGCTGACATCACCTTTACCTCACGCTCACGGGAACGCCTACAGCCAAGCAACACACACACACACACACACACACACACACACACACACAGTGCAACACAAGGCTGCCTGTTTGAGATGCAACAGTCTTCAATGAACCGCTTCTCAGTGTGTAAGGCTGAGCCATGGTTACTCACAATGGAGCAACACCAATTTCAGGAAAAAGAATGGTACTGAGTCCAGTGAACACAGAGCACACTGGCTGGGCACTTGAGTCACTGGCCTATAGGACTTCAACAGCCACGTCCTGGCGACTCGGATCACAGCTGAGTGGAAATGAAAACGTGCCAAAGACTATTGTTTCTTTTCAATAAATACTAGCCTGACTAATCAGTTTTAAGAGAGTCTGTAAAAAAATGTCAGTCACAGACAACACAAAGAAAGGGAGGCAGAGAAAATGGCAAAACACAATGAGGTATGAAAAGTAAACAGGACTCACGAAACCCACACATGGTGAAACCAAACGAGGTCAGCCTCTGGAGAAAAACACCAAATTGTAATAATCACCTCTTCCTATGTGCATAAATAATATTCAGACTGAAAAGAACCCCAAAGACAAGGAAACAAGGGACCTCTTAGCGTTTTTAGATGACTCTGTATTCTTTACCTCATATATTGTGTATACATATGCACAGCTGAGTTGGAAGGTGTGAGGAAGGCACAGAACCAGTGGAAAGCTGGTGGAAAATAAAGCAGGGGGCCCATCAGCTGCACTGGACATTGATGAAAGTGAACTAAGCAACTCAAGGGCGACGATGGGAGGGAGGGAAGGAGAGGGAAAGAGGGAGGAGCTGACACTAAGCAAAAGGAAAGAAATGTACATATCACCCAATCGGGAAAAAACTTTTGTTATAAATGTTCAAAGGGTTCATAAGTTTTGCAGATTAGAATGATGATGACTATCATTGTAAAGGTTAAAAGGTGTTTGTGACTTTAAGTATAACTATGCCATAGCACTGTGAAATGTATGTAGCTATTTAATCTCAATAAAGAAATCTTTGCGGGGGAGAAAAGAAAATGGCAAAAACTACATTATCTACTCCTTGTACGTGACATGCTGAAGTGCCCAAATGACAAATGAATACAACTGCATGTCACACAGCGAAGTCCTGAAAGGGTAAAGATACCACCAGAGAAGCATGACTGCAGCTGTAACAGCTGACAGCCAGGCATAGGGTGCGCCTCGGTCTCAGCTGTCTGGACAGTTAAGGCAGGAGAATCTCTTAGCCCAGAGTTCCCAGACTAACTCAGGCAACACAGCAAAACTGCATCTCAAATAAATAAACTAACCAACGAAAACAGTACAGTAAAGATGCTTATCCTCATCTCTGGAAGAGTCCTGACAGAACAGAATGCAGAGCTTGCCTGTAACTATTGCACCCTCTATCCCAGCTTCCCAATGTAAGGAAGGGTAAAAACAAACAACTACCTAAGGCCAGATGACCTGGACTCCCACAGAGAAGCTTCAGACGCTCCCTTGCTCCCGTGTTCCCATGCTCCCGTGCTCCCGTGCTCCCATGCTCCCATCTTCCAGAACATGGGCAGGCTCAGCTTCTTACCACGGGGCTTAACCTCACGCACGTAGTTGCTGGGGAACCAGCCGGTCCTGCCGTTGTGTGCGCCCTCCCACCAGCCTCCTTCCTCCACTCGCGTGACATGGATGACATCACCCTTCGTGAAGGACAGCTCATCTTCATTGGTCTGCTGGAAGTTAAACTTGGCTCGTACTACCAGTTGATTGTTGCTATTATCAGTCATGTCCTAAAAGACAAGTGGGGGAAAGATGGGAGAAAAATGTCTACTTCATTATTAAAAAAAAAGAATTAGATCATATTACTATTATAAATCTAGTTAAAACTTATTGTGAATAACTAAAGCATTCCAACAGCAGGAAAATCCCCATTTCCCAGTGCCCTTACTCATCACCGGGCCCCACGTCCCAGGGAGACCCTTTCCACACTGGAAAGGCCTGTTCTGCCAGTAGTGCACTGTGCACATACATACACATACACACACACTCTGCCAGTAGTGCACTGCACACATACACACACACACACACACAGACACACACACACACACACACAGTCTGAATACCTCTCTTACACACAGAAAGTTGCGTGCTGCGCTCATTTCCCAGCCAGCTGATTAGCTAATTAGCCGCATACCACACTGTGATTGTGCCATTCTTGAGCTAGGCTTCCATTATGAATTTTAGGTTATTCTATCTAGTATTTTCTAATATGGCAATACAGTGTTTTTCTAGGGTATAATAAAAATACATCCATCTTTGAAGGCATCTATAAATAAGCCTAAATACTAAATTCTGGTCTGAGCCGAAGAAGAACACTTCTTATAAATTTTATGTATATTTCTAAACTGTCTAAATATTAATATATTTCTCCTCAGCCCTCCAAAATGTTCTATAAAGTTAACACCAAGTAACATGCCCACCAACACTATGTAAGAATTCTTTCTTTGCCAAACTTGCACTGGCCCTGAAGACTGCCAAACATACACCTCTTTGCCACATGCACAGGAAAAAACAGTATCCCACACAGTTAATGCTATTTTTTTTCTTTTCAGAGAGTGCATAGTTTGAGGTCTTCCAGAGCCTGGACCTGGCTCTGGACAGGCCAGTGGTATAAGCCCACTGAAGAGGCAGATGCCTATGTAAAATTCCCGAACAGGCTTCTTGTGGCTGCCCCAGGAGCAGGATCAGGGCAACCAGCTGATCCCAGCCTCCCTGTACCAACCCCGACCTCCTCAGCCCCGGTGAAGACCATGGTCTCATCTCTGTGCCTAACCCTTGCAGGTGTAAGCTCAGCCCACCCCGGGCCAGAGGACTGGGCAGGGTGCCTTTCCGCAGCCACAGAGCAACAGATCTCAGCTCTCACCAGTCAGGCAAGAGATACGGCTGCCACCATACCAGAAAGCAGTAGGCAACCCCCAGGTGCCCACATAACTGTGCCCTGGGCCCTGCAACCAGTCAGGGGACAGGAAGACTGGAACAGGACCCAACAGTGCTGATACCCTCTCCAAGGCACCTAGGGTTCAGGGAAAACACTTCTTGTACACAGGATACCCAATAATGCCAAACAATAAACCCATGACCTACAAAAGAAAGGACAACCAACCAAAAAAGGAGGTACAACTCCAAGACCAAGAGAAGCAGATACAGGAAGGAGACACGTGCCCCTCTCAGATGTGCTTAAAACAGTCTGAGACTCAATACTGTCCCTGTGTACTGTACTGCAAGTTGAAAAGACTGAAGGAGATGTGTGTAGTAAATTTTGGTATAACTTCTTACAGGTCTTGGAAGCAGTTTGTGAGTACAGACTGATACCAAAGCGAGATTATCAGACAGCAAGAGGGGAGCACCCAGGGAAATGTGGGGTCCCGGGTTCTGGAGACCTACAGGACCACAGGGAAGAAAATGTCATAGGAGAGAACACAAGGCCAGGAGCTGGTGACTCACACTATAATTTTTGTTACTCAGGAAGCTAAGTGCTAAAGAACCACATTTCCAAGCCAGCCTGGGCAGAAAAATCCATGAGACTTCATCTACAAGTAACCAGCAAAAGTAAACTGCAAATATGACTCAAGAGACTAACAGAGCACAAGCTGTAAGCAAGCCAAGTGAGAGAGAGGCCCTGAGTTCAAGACCCAGTACTGACTGGCAAGCAGGCGAGCAAAGGAAGGTATATCAAGTTGCTTCTCCTAGAAATGAAAGGAAACTAACAGACACTGCCTCAAGGCTCTGCTAGTCACACTGAAAACTCAAGGTCGAATTTATTAACCAGCAGAGAGTGGAAGGTTAGGGCATGACAGTGACACTGGAAACTACAGAACACCGGTAATGTTAAGAAGAAAGGATGACAGCCAGGCGCTGGTGACTTGCCTGTAATCATAGCTACTCAGGAGGCTGAGATCTGAGGATCGCAGTTCAAAGCCAGCCCGGGCAATAAAGTCCATGAGACTCTTATCTCCAATTAACCACCAGAAAACTGGAAGTGGCGCTGTGGCTTAAGTGCTGGAGCATCGGCCTTTAGCTAGAGTTCAGGGACAGTGCCCAGACCCACAGTTCATGACCAACAACAACAAAAAAAAAGTTCTGCTAATAGGGGTTGGGGTTGAAGAGCTGAGGGACAGCTCCCAGGCCCAGAGTTCAAGTGTCACAACTGACCCAAAAAAACAAAAAAGAATAAAGGATGAAATCAAACCTACTTAAGAAAAAATTTGGCCTACCGCCTGGGTCCACCACGCTCAATTTAATTGCCCATTTCTTCTACTAAGCTGAGAGATACATCACAAAGCAGGGTAAAAGAAAAGCTCAATTCAGCTGAATGCATTTGAAAGGCGATAGTATGAAATCACCACATAACAGAGAGGACAGGGAATGGTGCAGAAATATCTAAGAAACAAGTTGGAACTTCCCCTTCCATGCAAATGAAACACAACTGTTCAAGTCTTTCTGTGCCAAGGGAGCAAATCTATCTTCAGCAGAGATGACGATGATGTCACAGACTAAAAACCAAGACTGAGAATAACCAGTAAGTAAGGGATGGCCCGATGAGTGCTCTGTAAACTAAGGAGTTGTAGCTGATTAAAAGAAAAAAAATAACATGTAGGCCAGAGGCCAGTGGCTCACACTTGAAATCCAAGCTACTCAGGAGGCTGAGATCTAAGGATCACAGTTCAAAACCAGCCTGGGAAAAGAAAGTCCATGAGACGCTTATCTCCAATAAACTACCAGAAAGCTGGAAGAAGAGCTGTGGCTCAAGTGGTAGAGTGTTTTTCTGAGCAAAAGAAGCTTAGGGACAGCATCCAGCCCTAAGTTTAAGCCCCAGAACTGGCACCAAAAAAAAAAAAAGTATGTGATCAGGTGCCAGTAGTTCGCACCTGTAATCCTAGCTACTCAGAGGCTGAGACCTGAGAATAGTGGTTCAAATCCAGCCTAGGCAGAAAAGTTTGTGAGACTTCTTTTTTTTTTTTTTTTTGAGTCCGGTCGTGGGGCCTGAACTCTGGGCCTGGGCACTGTCCCTCAGCTCTTCAGCTCAAGGCTAGCACTCTACCACTTGAGCCACAGCGCCACTTCTGGCTTTTTTCTTTTTGCTTATGTGGTGCTGAGGAATCGAACTCAGGGCCTCATGCATGCAAGGCAAGCGCTCTACCACTGAGCCACCTTCCCAGCCTCTGTGAGACTTCTTATCTCCAATTATCTACCAAAAAGCCAGAAGTGGAACTTCAGCTAATGTGGTACAGTGCTAGCCTTGAGCAAAATATAAATAAATAAATAAATGCTCAAGGGCAGTGCCCAGGCCCTAAGTTTAAGCCCCAGGGATGGCATCAATAAAAACTATTTTTTAAATAAAAGCTGAACTTTATTTTAAAAAGATCCAAAAGCAGATGTTCAAGAGTCACAAGTTGCTTAGCTTGTTTTTCTGATAAAAACTACAAGCACAGGAGAAAGTAGAGAGTAACAGGTGGCCCTCCATATACCTATCATTTAATTGTGTGCAAACATTTACCAGTCCCGTTCCACTATAATCTTACTTTGGACTCAAGAAAATCATCTTACAATGCTATTAATAAATCATGTTCAGAAAAACCCAAGGACAAAAAATAACCCCAGCATGTAAGAGGGCCTTGTAATGTCCCATGAAAGAAAAGTCACCTTGGCAGTGGCCCATGGCCCGAGGAGACGGAAACTGACCAGCCACAAGGAAACACACAGGCAAGAATGCTAAGGCTGATCATTCTCCTAGCTAGTGAAAACTAGTCCTATGCTAATTATGGCCTCAGTAAGCTTCATGACCAACCTGATATTTAAGATTATTTCTCTTAAAATTATACATTTGTAATCCATTCATTTACTCACTAAGAAAAAAAATGAAAATTGCCCAGATAAAATAATCAGACTTGGACTGAGAATGTGGCTTAGTGGTAGAGTGCTTGCCTAGCATACATGAAGCCCTGGGTTCGATTCCTCAGTACCACATAAACAGAAAAAGACTAGGAGTGGTGGCACTGTGGCTCAAGTGGTAAAGGCTAGTCTTGAGCAAAAGAATCTCAGGGACAGTGACCAGGCCCTGAGTTCAAGCCCCATGACTGGGAAAGAAAGGAAGAAAGAAAGGGAGGGAGGGAGGGAGGGAGGGAGGCAGGCAGGCAGGAAGGCAGGAAAGAAGGCAGGCAGGCAGGCAGGCTGCAGGTATTTCTTCACGCAAAGTGTGCTCATTTCATTTCTTACAACTCCCTCATATTTTATAAAGTGAATACACTGAAATATGTTTGAAGTAGTGTGAGTGTTTCTCTGTAATTTGTCCTTAATGCTCAGTTTCTCCAGAATCAAGTCCTATGGACAGGGCAGACCCTACCCAGCGCTGGCAGCTGCAGGGCTGTGTAAGGATGTGGCTGGCGCAGTGCCACTGCACACTCCTGCATCAGAGCAAATGGGCTTCTCTAAGAGGGAACATGGCCCCCATTAGCACCACTGAACACACTTAGATACACAAAAACCTCGTGCTCCTTCCACATCTTTCCAGTGTTATTTAACATGCTCTGCAAAATACAACTCTATCGGAATTAACCTTTACTTCTTGAGGCTCACGGTTAGCAAACTATCAATTTCCTTCCTGATTCAGAGCAGAAGGAAAGCCACAGTCCTCTTAAATCTCTGGAAAAAATAGACTTTCATTACTTTCAGCACAAGAATACACTATGTTTCCAAGGAGAAACATGAGGAAAAATGTTTCCTGCCAATGTTCTAACTCAAAAGAGGAAGCATAGCTAGGCAGGGGAGCAGTGGCACAGCCCCCCAATACCACATCAGGGCCTGCACTTAGTATTTCCCTAACCTCAACACTAACCTCAATGTTATATTTGTGAACTTCCTAGAAATTCAGTAAGACACCAGAAGATGCTGTCGCAAGAGAAAAGGCTGCCTATGAACCATCAGTTCTACCCCTTTTTCTCTTCTAGGTACACTAAATGCTCTCCACCCCACTCCACCCTTAGCCCCCCACCACCCACACACACACACCCACTCCCACACACACACACCTCATACTTCCACACACTGAGGAACAACAGGAAGAAAATACTACAGAGGAAGAATGTCAAAGTGCAGAAGCTAGGAGTCTTAAATACAATCCCAATACACAGCCCTCATTTGGCACAGTACGTGGAGGTTCTGGTGGCAAACAAACGCCCAGCCAGCCTGCAGCCATCCTCCTGCTGTTTAGCACTCTGTAGATAAAGTACCGAGACCCTCCAGACACATCTCATATCCCCAAATACATTTGACACTTGAGTAACAAAACCTCTTGCACTTACCAAACTCCGGTACTGGCCCTGGAACAATTTTGAAGTCCGACTGTGTGAAGGCTGGGATCCCAAGGAATCAAAAGACTTTATCCGATGTGAAGAGGGCCGAGCACACACGGAATCACTTCCCAGTCCAATGTCTGAAAAGGTCATGCACACAGAAGGAAAAAGCACTGACAATGCCCAACACCACAGATGCTCCCCACACTGACGCTAAAACTGGGCCAGTCTGAAGGGACACACCGAAGACCACACAAAGCAGGCCATTTACACAGTACACAAAGAGCAGATTCTTTGTCCCATAAATAACTTGCATTCATTCCCCAATTACCTCTCCAGACAACTGTCTGGAGATGACCACTTATCAGCTCTTCTCTAGTATAATTTTTTTCAGTTTGTGAACTTTTTCGTTCTTCCCCTTCCCCTTTAGAAAAGCAAGCCTCTCAAATTCAATTACCTTGCAGAGCAGAAAACTCTCTTGGAGAAGCCCGCTTCTCCAAGACAACATGCGATAAGCAATGAGAATCACTTTGCAACAAAAGGAAAAGACTTCTTTAAAGCAAAAGAAGCTGGGTGCCGGTGGCTCACGCCTGTAATCCTAGCTACTCAGGAGGCTGAGATCTGAGGATCATGGTTCAAAGCCAGCCCAGGGAGGAGCGCTCGCCTTGAGCTGAAGAGCTGAGGGACAGTGCCCAGGCCCAGAGTTCAAGCCCCACAATTGACAAAAATAAATAAACAAATAAATAAATAAAGCAACAGAAAATCCTTGTGTATTTGCCATCTGGAGATGCTACTGAGTACCATCTCGAGAGGAAGCTGCACTTCTCCGCTCTCCACAGAAAGCAGGTATGAAGGGGCATAGCTCCATTCTCTGCATTCCCATCAAGCAAGTCCAACCAATGGGTAAATGCTCACAGTCCATTTCTTAAAGGTGATTTGATTTTTAAAAATAGAAAGATGAGGGCATAAAAATGTTCAAGATGTCTATGTTAAGCAAGCTGAGTGAGAATGCGAGTCCCTGACTTCAAGCTACAGTACGTGTACACACACACACACACACACACACACACACACACACACACGGCTATGCTGATATAGGAGCCTTCACAAAAATACACTGATGGGTCCAGGGCCCACTTTTCTTGGAGTTGCTTGGATCAGCTTACACAGTATCTTTCCAAATTCTGAATTAAGAGTCTGAAGACATAAGAGAAATCCACAGTGCTGCCACTGCTCTTGGTGCCCTGAGCCACGTTACCAATGTCTACCTGCAGAGGAAGCTGGCTCAGGGCTGGGCAGCACAGCACAGCCTGGCAAGCCTCTTCCTTCCGGTCCTACCAGACACTGCTGCCAGCTCACAGCCAGCTGGGCATGGGACCCTGCTCGGAATCATCCCGGCCACCGCAGCAGTTGCCTCTCAGATGGGCTTGGCACTACATACAGGGGGCGCTCTCCACAGAGCATTTTCTACTTAGGAAGACAAAAACCATGGGCCACCCCAAGTACAGATTTAACAAGTGAGGGCATTTCTTGCAGAGCTGCCCGCCGAAGCCTGCAGTCCCACTATTCCTGCCTGTCAGGGAAATCCCCGCTATAATCAGCCACTGCCTCTAGCCCCTTTCACCTCATTTACTAGCTTCTAGGAGATAGGACCTCATTATGCAGACTGAACTGGCCATAAGCATGAAAGCAGAGGACAGCCACGCAACTGTCCTGTTGCCAAAGCAATCACTTAAGAGTTGGGATCTAGGAAGATACAGTCACTTCCATAATACTGACTTAAAACTATCAGCAGGGAGCCAACAAAGAGAAAAGCAAACAATTCTGTAGCAAAGGGGTCACTAATACTATTTAAAATCTGGAAATAAAAACACTGCATATATGAGATCCAGTGCATCCTGGATGACACCAACAATCTGTGAGAAGCTGGATATGCTGGCACGTATCTGTAATCCTAGCACTCAGAAGGTGCAGACAGGAGGCTCATGAGTTTACCAGCCAGATTACATAAAGAAACTCTGGCCCAAAAGATATTAAAAAAAAAAAAAAAAAAACGAAAACAGAATAGTGGGGAAAACACAGGAAAAATACTTTTGCGTATGCAAGGGATGAAACGAAGGTAGTTTGTGTCTAACAGTCATCAGTCCTGGTTTCTATTCCATTATTCACCTCAAGTCGCAGGGCCTCCCTCAAACCTGAGCAATGATGGCACAGACCCACGTGCAGGCTGGAGCCCTCCCCAGCTCTCCACCTGCCAACCGGATCCTTCTGCTGACGAGTACTAAGTAACTCAAAACTTTAAGCAGCAATGAGCAGTCACGTTTACTTCATGATGGGAGCCCACCCCCTCAAGTTCATTAAAAAAAAGTCTTACCTGCTGTTACTTTATTTAGAGTCACTAAGGAAGTGAGGACCTTGTTAAAATTCTGCCCCTGATATAAATCATTTGCATCAAATGTCTGAAAGAAAAAATTAAACAAGCACAATTAGAACTGAGGACAAAAAACAAGCAGAGTTCTCCTGCAACGCGAGGGGGTCCATGAGCATCCCAAAGAGCACAATTCTCTGCAAGACAGCCTAGTCTGCGACACTCATGAATTACCCAGTCTCTGCCAGCCTACATTTATGAATGACCACCAGCTGCCTGCCCACCAACCCCAGCCTGTTCCCTCCCCCACAGGGCAGGGGCCACCTGGATGCAAGGGCTATAAAAGGCTCAGCAGAAGCCTGTGGCTCTGTCTCTTTAAATTATGCAAAGGCTACAGGGTTAAGACATGGTATAGATATTCTATTTAGGAGGTAAGATGAGGCCAGGGGAAGACAGATGGTCTCCAGGGCAGAGCTCTAGAGAAGTAGGACTGTGGGCCCTGAAGTGTCAGCATGGGGCAGGATAGGTACCTCACAACACTAGTTGGAGCTGTGGGAGCGTGTGGGTAGACAGCTGGGCAAGTGTGGGAGCTTGTGGGTGCACAGCTGGGGTCCTCACACCTGAGCATTTGTGTTCTATGGCTGCATCAGCCACGAGACACAAGAGCAATAAGGTACTGACCTGTTAGACATGAACAAGTGGAGTTTGCAGGGTATGTGTCAGAGTTAAGAGTGTTTGTGTGCATACGTGAGTGCACATACACATAATAGTGTGCTCAGACAAATGCTATGTTTTTGCTGGTTGTGGAGCCTGAACTCTGGGCCTGAACTCTGGACCACTGTCCCTCAACTCTTCAGCTCAAGGCTAGCACTCTACCACTTGAGCCACAGCACCACTTCCAGCTTTTTCTGTTTATGTGGTGCTAAGAAATTGAACCCCGGGCCTCATGTATGCAAGGCAAGCACTCTACCACTGAGCCACCTTCCCAGCCCCCGATATATAACTTTTGATTAATTTTAATAAACAAATCAACCACAATGCTATCCCAGAAAAATTATGAAAAACATCTCAGAGGTGCAAATATCAGAAAAACATAACTTGATATTCAAATGTACATGGCATTATCATACTTTCTCTCTCCATGAGGCACAAAGGAACACACCTGACCCTCAGTGCCCAGCCAGCTTGGTACCTCACCCTCCTTCTAGGCTGGTGCCTCCTTCCTGGTTCTTTCTCCAGGCCCCTTCTCCTCCTCTTCCTGCCTCCCCCTGCCCCCACTTCCTAGCTGAGTCTTACTCATCTCTCTTCCTGCAGGAACCTTCTGCCTGGAGAGCCTCACTGACTCTTTAACAAGCTCATCCCAGAGCATCTGTCACAGAGTAAGTCCACAGCCGCTGTCCAGGCCTGCATGCCATGGAGGGTAAACCCTACAGGGGCCACACACAGCCCTGGTGCCTGGCCAACGCCTGCCCAACGGCTTCCATGCCACCCACAGGCCATCTGCCACGGGGAAAGATGGTCACGGAGACCTGGGAAATAACAGTTCCAAGCCCACTACTCATTGTTGCCTTCTCAAAACCCACCTCATTATTGTTCTTCTGTGTACAATTTTTGAAATGAGTACAGAGTCATGAGGCACATCTATGTTAACAAGACCACACAGCGAGCAGGAAAACTATCTCAGGAAAGAGGCCCCATTCACCAGACAGCCCAGAAAGGGCCAAAAACATGGCATGCTGACTAAAGCTCAGGAAAAAGAATCAAATAGAACTATCAAATGTAAAAAACAAAGATGTGACTGTATCTGGGCATTTCACACCTGGTCGGAATCTCATGAAGCAACAGTCCAACTATAAAACATTCCTTAGAACTCAGTACTGACAACTACCTTATGATTCAGTTTAATGTGTGTGATGCCTGTGATTTATGAAAAAAGTCAGCTCCATCTGGGCCAACCCAAATGAATCTTTTTAAAGAACTACACATATGAATCTTAATAGGCCTCAGCCTCATGTGTAAAACCAAGAAATTTCCCTTAAATGTAAACTGACTGTCTTATGTCCTTCAGCTCTGATAATCTCCCTGTAGAAACTCCTGGAAACTTCTATAAGAAACACATGTATAAATATCCACTAACCTTCATGGTGGTGAGGCTGCAAGTCACAAAGCCCAGACGACAGGATGTGAGAATGGAGACTTCCTGTTATTCCAGCGCTAGATAGCTATGTCACTGGGATACCAGGAAGGGCTGGACTGGCACAAGCTGCCCACCAATCACTGCAGGCATGATGTCAGAACTTGGTGGACACACACAGCCCCTTCCTCACAGGAAGGTGCACAATGAGAGGAGAGAAAAGAAATGCCTGAGGCACATCCTAAGCCAATGACATCCTGACTACAGTGCTTCTCCAAGGAACATTACAGACTAATTCCTGAAAACAGAAATGTAGGCAACAAAAAGCAAAAAGCAGGAAAAATCTCAGCATAGAAAAAGTTCCCACTAAGGGAATAAGGTCAGTCTCCTTAGAACTTTCACAGAAATGCCTCTTTTCTTAAGAAATCCATTAGTGTGAACAAGAGAATTACCACCAGGTTAAAACCTGCCAATTGTTCCCTGGGGTCATTCAGTATACAAGACAGATAAAATGCACTGGACTTAGTCCTCAGGCCTCCACTCAGCTGCCCTAATGGTATGTCCCAAAGGGCCACAGATTCCACTCATGGAAGAACAGAGAGCAAAAGGGGAAGGAGGCAGGTTCTACCTCCCACAGCCTTTCTTAGGTGGCCTCAGGAACAGTCCCTGTCTCTATGATCTGTGCATACCGATCTCCTTGGTGACTCTAGAGATGAAAATCCTCGAAGACACCTCCTCCTCGACCAAACGAATGGCTATGTTCCTTCTCCCTGCCACCCAGCATTCCGGTCTCGCAGCACCCACCACACAGGCTTCCTAGACCCTATAATCAAGCCTCAGAGACTTCGTTACCTCATCCAGACTTGACCTCTAGCTTTCACCTTGCCATTTCTCTGAAGTATTTTATTTGGTTATTTGTAAAAACATCAAGCTTAGGTCCTGAAGGAACATCTGACAAAGCAGGAAGATGGGATGGGACTGGTCCCGTATCCTCCTGACAGTCCTCAGGTGTTCAAGTAAGCATAAGGAGCTAAGTTCCCAGATGCAAAACCCTCTCTCCAGACAGGGAATGGCTGTGTTAAAAGAAACAGTTATAAATAGAGATGCTTTCACCATGCAGATCCCACCTGGACCTCTCACACTCCGCATGCTATCTTCCCACTTCCCACTACACACCTTCACTAGATGTGACATTCCCTGAGCTATTGCTGAGCTATTGCAGCCACCTGACTCACTGTGGCCAATGACATGTGAGCTCCAAGGACCTGTCCACACAGTTCTCAGGAAGAAGCGTTTCAACCAGCCTCCCTGTCCTATTCCTTTAAACAAGAAAGTCAAAGACCAAAATGGAGTTGCCCCAATAGCCCAGATTCTAGAACAAAGAGGCTTGGAGCAGCACTGTCTACATGCAGCTACATAGAACTGGTATTAAAAAAAAAAAAAGCTTCTAGTGTCATAGGGCAAAGAAATGTGGTGCCTTCCAGCAAAGTAATCATCTTTATGACTGCTGAAGACTAGAGAATTCATCTCAAAAGCAAAACACAACAAGACACATTCAATCATTCAGAATAAGATGTGTGTGTGTGTGTGTGTGTGTGTGTGTGTGTGTGTGTGTGTGTGTGTGTGTGTGTGTGTGTGTGTGTGTGTGTTTGTCTTGTCAGATGTGGGGCTTGAACTCAGGGTGTGGGCTGTCCTTGAGCTCTTCTGCTCAAGGCCAACCACCTACCACTTTGAGCCACAGCTCCACTTCAGGTTTCTGGTAGTTAATTGGAGATAAGAGTCTCATGGGGACTTTTCTGCCCAGGCTGGCTTCAAACCATGGTCATCATCAGATCTCAGCCTCTTGAGTAGGTAGGATTACAGGCATGAGCCACTGGTGCCAGGCAAGACCATATTAACATGAGACAGTAGAAGTTAACACCTCTTAGCTGGCTAAGACAGATACAGAATCTGTCATTCAAAATAACAGACTTTTCAGCAAGTACTTGTCACACCCCAGCAAATGAGATTTAGCCTTCCTTCTCCAGTCAACAGTGCAGTAATTACAAAAGTACTGATAGTTACTGTTTCACAGAAAACTCCAAGAAGAGACATGTGCACACTGGACTTGAGGGAGTTCATTCCTTCACTTGCTCTTGGTTGTTGGGCATTCTGAGCAGCAGAAAGGGGAAGAAGAAGCAGGTGACGGACCTGCCACATGCTGAGAGCCTCTGGACACCCAAGTTAGTCACCCATTTCTAAACCTCCGTGGCTTCAACAACAAACAATCCGTGTCTTCTTGTCTCTATGCACTGGTGCTCAGGAGCAGCTTGGCTCCGTGACTGTGGCTCCAGGTCTCTCAAGAGGCCAGCCAAGTATAGGTGGAGCTGTGGGCATCCAGAACCTTGCTGATATCACTGGAGTTCTGCTAACAAGACAGGACCATCACTCCCCTGTTGGCAGGAAGCCTTCATCCCTTGTGTCATTAGTGTTTGGGAACACTGAGTGCAAGCCAAGAGGAAAGCTAGTGTTTAAAATTTCAGGAACAGCATAACCCAGGATCAGAAGTCACATACACCACATTCTATTCATTAAGAGTCACCATACAGGAGAGGACCAACAGGAAACAGGCGAAGCTGAAGCCAGTAGCCAGGACAAGGACATTTGTGCAAGGAGCTGACAAGCATGTTCATGTTGGGTGGCAAGCCTGCTACAACACCTACCCCAGAGCTCACGCTACCACTAAGCTTATTCACATACACAGGATCTAGCACATGCCATGATCTGAATCTTATCACAAGTGTACACGTGCACCCATGCGCATGCATGCACACACACATACACACACACACACACACGCACATATACACCCTGCTGCCCAATGCTCTCAACCAAGTTACAGCAACCTGGCCACATGACTCAGGCACCACCACTAGCACAAGGGACATGGCCCACCTCAAAATGAGTGATGTGCTGGG